ATGAAAGGCAATAAATTGAAATATTAAATTGCCAAGCTATTCTATTTAATTGTTTAATTTTAGTAATTAATTATTAGTTTAAATATCGATTAACTATTAATCATTTCTCAAAATTGATAAATATACGTCTTTTATTTTGTAAGCGCATCACATCAGCAAATATCACCCCACTAATCATACAATAATTTTTATGATAAAATAGAAAAAAGACAAAACACGACCGTTCCGTTGACAAATATCTGCGAAAAGTTTTATTAAAAGATATCACAATGATTGGTATTTATATTATCGTTTTTCATTTGCATAAAGCCGAAAATTTGCATAATATGACATGTCAAATTATGTGTGCATAACTTTTGATATGAAGGAAAAAATGTAAAATTTGCATAAACTATATAAATGTCGAAATTCTTTTTTGCAATCCAATAACTCATTAACTTTTCTTAATTAAAATTTTAAAGATATATTCACAAACATTTGATAGTAATAATTAACATTGAATATGAATTAGTTCAATGGTCAAATTTTTGTCGCATTCAAATGTGCAAATACATTTGATGTCAAATATTATCGTTTAAAATATTCAAAGTAGTGCTAATTTAAAATTTCACTTTTAAAATTTTAGCATTATTTTAAAAATGATACTGTAAGCAAAGAACATTTTATGATAAAAGTTCATCAATAAATTGAATGTTTATTGATAATGAAATATCAATTATAAAACAGATCAGTTACAGTATCCCTTCATAGTTTACAATTTCTACCATAAAATTCAATTCTAGCTTTCTTCTTCTTCTTATTGTTGTTTTTTTTTCCTTCCATTTCAAATAGTTGGTGATATACTGTATGAATGTTGATTTATTAAAAGGTCAAATTTTTTATTTTTTTAGAATCTTCTTCGTCTAATTCGACCACTATCCACGCGATGTAATCTACCGTATAATCGAGATCGTGGATATTTTTGCGATGATCGTTGACGTCGATGTAAATTTCCTGTTCGTAATAAGTGTCCTCGATTAATTCTCAAACTTCTGAGATCAATTCTCTAAAGATTGACAATTTTTAACTTCCTATTCGTAAATTCAAGTATTTATTCGGAAATAAAAACAAAAAAAAAACCTGAATTTATTTTCGGAAATTTTATAAAATCTACAAATAACTATCTTTTTCTATTCCTCATATCTCTTTTTTTTTATCCATCTAATATAAAAGATCAAAGAATTTTGAGACTTTAATCTTTAATCTTTTATCCATACCAAATGATATAATAATGTTTACTTTCATACCGATCTAAGTGGATAATTTCTTTTGATGGTATGATTACTATATGAAACATCATCCATTAATTCTTCATCACTTTCTGATGAAGTGATATATCCAAAACGAATTTGTCGTTTTGCGATTAATGGTAGCGAATGTCGCCGTTTTATTGAAACACCTAATGATCGATTAAATGATCGTGACATATGACGACATGATTGAATTGAGTTTTCTTCTTCCGAAAAAATACTACGATTACTACCATATCGTTCACGAAATCTATTATCATCTATTGATAGACAATAGTTACTGCTTTGTTGTAATGCGAATTCTCGGGAATTTATTGGAGCAGATATTGGTGAAGATTGATCGTATATAGTTAGTCCCATTCTAAGCTGAAATTTATAGTTGTAAAAAAAACAAAAAAAAAAAAAAATAGAAATGATTTCCAATTATTTGAGAATATTCATCCAATAGGAAATAATGTTTGTGTAGAAATGAACAAAATGATGATACGGTAAGATTTGAGAATAGAAGTATTTTTATTTAATCATAAAAAAACTTTTAGAATTTTAAATTAAAAAAAAAAAATTATTACATGATTAGTTAAACTGTTCATTTCGTCATCATTTAATTCATCATCCATTTGTGGATAAATAAAATTTTGAGCCTAAAATTTTTTATGTAAAAATACATCCAATTAAATTAATATTATCTAATTCTAATAATAATTAAGTAGCATAGAATAGAATGGTTAAATTAATTAATTAATTTTCACATTACAATAGTTTTTCGCATGATAAGTTTATTGATTGTTAAATGGACACTTAAATGAGAATATGAAGAAATAAAAAATAGATCCTTCCAATTTTTTTTTTTTTTTGGAAAATTTAGCGGAAAGATTCAACAAAAAGTTTCACATAATTTTCATAAATTATAAATTAACAAAGAAAAATTTTCTGAGGGTTCTTTAGATTTGAAAAATTTTAATTAACAATAATTTATAAGAAATTTTGTTTTAAATTTTAAAAAAAAACTAATTGAAGCTAGTTAGAAATTATTGCAAATTTTAAAATTTGGAATCAATTTGTAGCGGCAAAATTTATGCTAAAATTGAAATTAGTGTTAAAGTTCAAAACATTTGCATCGAAATTTTAGTTCACATCAATTTATAAAAATTTATAACTGAAATGAGAGAATTTACAATAAAACTTAAAAGTTACAATTAACTTACAGTATTAGGATAATTATATCTCGGGTATTCATTAAAATGTCTTTCTTGACTTTCACGCATGAAACGTGGACTCGATGATCGTGAACTACCGACTGATAAACGTTCAAGATAATTGAACCTTTCATATGATTCATTATCTATTTCTTCATCGTAAAAGTTATGTTGAGACAATTGTTGACAGTCGTTTAAAATTACATTACGTGAAAAATTATCATTTTGTTGCGAACTACCAGCTATGTTGTCCTGAAATTATTCCAATTATTTGAAAATCTTTATTGCTATTACACATACTGTTCAGGTGAATGATTCAGGTGATCTTTATTAATTAATTTCTCTCGTTATTTAATTATTCACTTACTTAAATCACCAATATTAGTCAATCAACAATGTAGTGTTAAGTTTTTGAAACAACCAAAACATTGCAAATACTTAGCTAATGAATAATTAAACTTCAGGTAGATTAAAGATCATTTCATTATTACTACAAAAATGTTACGAAGCAGTAAAAAAAAAAAGATTACGATCAGTTCAAAGATCATGATAAGATAAAGATTATCATTATTTTAAAGATTATGATAAAGTAAAGATTGTGATTATTTCAAAGATTATGATTAATTTGATTCTGCTATTCTCTTGTTTTTTAGGATGAATTCTATAATAATCGTACCAATCTATCATTTATGGATGAATTGAAATGAAAATTTTCCGATAAATCATGATTGTTAATATCATCACCGCGAATCCAATCTTCGTTTTCTAATTCATCAATTTCATGCTCCATCCGATCTATTGCTTCGTTGAATCCAACAATAAATGTTCTAGCAATTTTAACGCAAATAAATAATTTAATTTTAAATGCAAAATTATTCAAAACGTTAATTAAATTGCATAAAATTGAGAATATAATTAGTATCCAGATTCATGCAACCATTACAGGATACGTGCAAATTATTGCAGTATCTGGATTCATGAGAATCACTGCAATATGCGAACTCATGTGAACTAATTGCTTGTATCCAGATTCATGCAACCATTACAGGATACGTGCAAATTATTGCAGTATCTGGATTCATGTGAACTAATTGCTCGTATCCAGATTCATGCGAACTATTTGCACTACCCGGACTCATGAAAACCATTGCAGTATCCGGAGTCCTGTGAACTACTTCTCTATCCAGATTCATGCGAACTATTACAGCATCCGGATTCAGTACTTGATCACTTCTTTAATTTTGCCTTTCAATTTAAGGATGCTTCTCTAATATCACCTATCAATAGCTTCCTGCGATTGATCACTACTGTAGTATCCGGATTCATCAGCTTCAGCAAAATTTTCAAAATCCAGTATATTAAATGCTTCCAAATTATCGGAATCGAAGCTTTGATTCAGTAAATCGCCAAAATGAACGGAACCTAAACTTACCCTTAAATCAATGCATCTAAATATTTTCACCACAAAAATTCAAATTCAAATTTTAATTAGCATTAAAGCAAAACAAAACATGAAATGTAGCTATTTCTTTGAAAATTTTTTCTTCCAATTCAAAATTTTAATTTCAAATATTAATTATTTCAATAATAATGCCTGCATCTGATGAATTGATAGATACATTAACAAATACAACAATTTTAGCAGTACAATTATCGTAATAAGAAAAATTCTATGAAACCTTTAAAAAATAAATTAAAATAAAATTATTTCAAAATTTAAACAATTTGTATTTTAAATTATAATTATTTTAAGTTTTAAATAATTTCTATTTTAAAATCCTTATGCAAAAATTAGAATTATTAATATAAATAACCAGATTCGTTATTTGAAGTACCATTGTTCACTTCATTTAATAAGTTTACATTCCTGTATGCACTCAGTGCTTCATCAAAATTTAATTCTAAAATTAATTAATGCTGTTACAAAAATTTCGCATATAAATAGGAGTTAAATGAAAATTTTCTTCCAATTTTAAATTTTATCCAAAGTTTTAGTGATGTAAATTTTTAATATTTTAAATTGTAAATTTCAATTCTAAATTTTTAATTTTAATCTTTAATAATACAATCGTTGAGGTGTAGCATAAGAAATTTATTTGCAAAAATGATGGAACATATTGTTATTCATATAAATTAAGTATATTTTAGAAATAATTCGAAGCAAAAACATGAAATATTACATGAATGATACGTTTTAAATCATTGAATTCATTCTAATAATTTCAGAGTAATTCACAAAATTTCCAATTTTAAAAAAAAAAATTTTATAAGAAAAAATTAATTTTTTAACAAATACCATTCATTTTTAATGCGTAATTATTACCACTTTGATGATAAATCGTATGGAATTAAAATTAATCTCTGAAATGAAATTTTGTTAAAATAATTAAATGGCCGATTGGTTTGTTTTAAAATGCATGACCACTTTTTGAAATATGATGTTAGATTATTAAAATAGTTAATTAAACAAGCAATGCAAATTTCAGTAATTGGTTTAAATTTACTGATTATCAATTCAATTTATTCAATTTCTTTTCAATAAACAAATAAAAGGAAATAAACGATTGTTTTTTTTTTCGAATATATGATTTGTTTCTAAAATATGATATCAGATTATCAGATAGTTAATCAAACAGGCAGCGTAATTCCCAGTATCTGGATTAAATTTATCAATTATCAGTTTAACTTGTTTAATTTCATGTCATGATAACCATAGATTTATTGAGAAATTATTAATCAATTGTTTGAAGCATCACACCTTCAGATGAGAAGAAAAAAAAAATTAATTACTTCGAATCGATGGTTGTAATAAAAATGATTATACTTTTATAATTAGTAGTATTTATATTGCAAAATAATAATTTACATATTTTCATTTCCTTTTTTTAACTTATCCTGGAATTGATCTTAATCAATTTATCACATTTTTATTCACCTTTTTCATTGTTAATAAATTAATTAAGTTAATTAATTATAAAATGAGGACGAAATAAAGATCCGACGAGATGAAACTATCTTAGAGAAAGTAGGAATGAGATTGTCGCTTATTAGTGTCATCGAATAAGTTCAGAGAAGTTCCATTTATGAGTAAGTTCTGACCACTGGCTACTAATATTAGGCTTGATACGATGGATAAACCCAATGTAAGTATTAATTTATTTGCAAAACTATTTTCATGAATGCATCTATTTGATGTATTATTTCCGCACAACTTTCATATTTCATTTTAATTAACAAAACTGACATTTAAATGGAGGAAAAAAGACAAGTTTGTCAGGTTAAAAATGTTCAAAATGATTACAAAAATTAATGTCTTGGACGGAAAGTATAATTAAATGAAAATACAAATGATAAAGAGGTATTAGAATGAGTGATTAAATCAATGTTCGAGTGATAAGGAGGTATTAGAATGAGTGGTTAAATCAATGTTCAAGTGATAAAGAGGTATTAGAATGAGTGGTTAAATCAATGTTCAAGTGATAAAGGAATGTTAGAATGAATGATTAAGTGAAAGTGCAAATGATAAAGAGTATATGGAATAAATATTCCACAATAATGTATGGAAAATAGAAAATCAAAAAAAAGAAAAAAAACAAGAGAAACAAGTTGTCATCAAAAAAATACGACAATCTGAAATAATCAATATCTGTGTGCATTCATTAGATGAATGAAATAATTAATTGAATTGTTCATTTATCACTGGTGATAAGATCCAAAAGAAATGATAAGCCAAATTTTCCGAATACATCACCAACTTCATCAAAACCTAATAAATGAAATATAACAGATAATGGTAATGAGAATAATTTCAGGAATGGTTCTTTACCTTCACGTATGACATCAATTGTATCATCAATAAGCAATCCGGTATTCAGGAGTGCTTTGCTATTTGCAAGATACATTTCAATACCTTTTTCTCGACCTTCTTTTTTAATTTTCAATTCTTCAAGAATTTTATCCAATAATGGTTTTTCATTCTTCTGGGATGTTTTATTGATTGATAAAGTGGCGTTACTGATTGTTGGTTCCGGTTCAATTGGCTAAAAAGGATGATAAAAATTTAATTGATAAGAAAATATTAAAGAAATAAATGTAGAATGGAAAAAATAAATTAAAAGAAATTTATTCATTAAAGGTATCACTAAAATATTTGGCTATTAATTAATTTGCAAATAATACATTCTATTAAAATTATGAATTATTTATTATTAGGATGATAATTAGAGATTTAACAAGTTTTTCACTTGCATTTAATTAATCATCCTAAATTAATCTACTAATGATAAAATTATTCGTAATAAACGATAAAGAAATAAGTTTTTTATTACAAAATTATTCTTTTACAACAATTTTAAATTCCACTGCTAAATATTAAGTATTCAAGTTAATATATTATCCTTTAATGAATGTAAGAGAAATGTATGTTACATGTATCATCCGCTTTTGTTATCAGTTTTTATCATCAGTAATAATCTTTCATATTTCCATTAAATCAATTTTTATTCAATATAATTGTTAATTAATGATAATTAATTGTATAATATACATACCTTGCAGATATATCTTTATGTACAATATATATATATATACCTTATATGCATAATATGCATACCTTGCAGAAGCATACATTTGGAATAGTTGCAAATGCAATATGAAATATTCCAATTGATTAATTAGTAATTAATTATTAAACATACCTTACAGAAATATATATTTGGAATAGTTGCAATTGCAATAAAAAATATTCCAATTAGTTGTTTCATCCTGTATTTGAAATGGAAATGAGAAATGTTTCAGTAAAAATTTATCTTTTATACTAATACTGTTATTATGATCCTTTAATGCATAATTTATTCCGCTTAATTTATTATTAAAAAGTGAAAAACATTTCAATGATCAATGATAGTTACATTGTAAATATTTTCTAATCTGTAATTTATTGTGGCGAAATGATAATATTAGAATAAATTAAAAACTTATTAAGAGTATTTATAAATGGATTCAAGAGTAAACAGATGAATTTCAATAATACTTCAATTATAATCATTGATACTAATAATAAACTTACAGTAGTAAACATGATGAAATTATTATTAATTAGTGCGATAAATTTTGGATAGGAAGAAGAGG